TTGAGCTGAACAGCAACAAAATTCACAGCTTAAAGGAGGTCCTCAGAACAGACAGGGAGGGGAAAGAAAAATTCTGCTTTGTGACTCATTTTTTCTGCTGTTTGAAGCTGTTCTACTGCAAGTACATGCTGTTCTCTGCAGAGCCCGCAGGTCTCTAGCAGCCGTGGCCTACTGCCCCAGCCTGACAGCTACCGGGTGAGAAAAGCACCGAGAACTACCCGGGGTACTGCTGGCACCACAATTTCTCCAAGTGTGGAAATGTCAAACTGACACAGATTCGGGAGAGTGGCAGACTGAACTTGAGGACCTCTCTGAAAGAAAAAAAACCTTCAGTAAATCTGCTGCAGGAGACAAACTGCCAGAAGGAATAATGCCTTTCTGCTAGGGCAATGCAAGCAGCTCATGAGCAGGTGGGTTGGACCAAACCACCTCCCTTCCAACCTCAACCATCCTGTTCTTCTGAGTGCATTTTGTGAAGGCTCTGGAAAGAAACAAACTAAATAAAATGTTTCCTGCAGTCTGGTTCTAAGGCAATCTCCAAAAGAGAAGCCAACAAGCAAGAGGACCTGCCACGCTATGCTGCATCTCGTCAGATGTGTTCTGAGTAGTCCTGAAAAAGAAAGAAATGCTGGAGGGTAGAGGAGGACAGATGATCCCTATGCGTAAATAAATTCGGTCTGTAATCATTAAACTTTCACAACCCATGCACGAATCTGCAAACGCAGCAGAATGATTCAAGGGTTTGAGAGCCTCTTTGTGTGCTTGAGTATCACTCAGGGTTTGGGGGAGGAGTCATTGTTTCTTTTAAAGAAATAATAGCATATAGAAAATTTTTTTTTCTATACATCTCAGGGGGCTAAGAGCAGGAACTTTCTGCACGTACTAGCCGCAGAAAGGTTTTGTTCAGAGCTTTAAGGTGTGTTTGAAGAGTACATTATAAGTCTGGAAAAAGTTACACACTGCACGACTTACCCCCAGCAAGCTCCTCCAGGCTTGGAACGTGAAAAGCAAACCTTTCGACTTTGGCCATTTCCTACTTGGTGTTGACGTCTTCAGGTAAGAAAGTACAATATAGCACTCTGTAGGAGCGACTGATCTGTCAAGCAGGAGAATAGTTTAATAAGCAAAACAAGCTGTTTTCAGTATGTTTCTTATTTTTCAGCTTCACTCGAGTACATAGACAACAGTAGAGTTGTAGTTCTCCCATTAAAGGGAAGACTAACAGCTTCAATACTGTTAATTTTCTGATGCTCTTTGGAAAAAAACGTGTCTGTCAGCTCTGCAGCTGGCTCAGAGCATTACACAGGCTAGTCCTCGAGCTTACAACTGGGTGTAGGCAAAACACACCCTACACTGAATCCAATTCAAGGTACGGGTCAGGAGATTTATCTGTGCTTTGTGAGCCTGGAGTCATACTTTGTTTTTGAAAGAAAACTGGGCTTATCCAAGCGCATTAGCTGCCTCCTCAGGTCTTCCCTACCTTAATGTTTACTTTTCCAGCATTGGCTACGGTGGACTTTCAACCTCAGCTGTGACATGGTCTCCAATTGATTCTGGGCATGTGTTTTCTCTTTCAGAACAGCAGCAGCAGCAAGTTCTGCAGTATGAGGCTCTGTATGGATACAGAGCCTGTAACAAAAGTTTCGTTTGAACATAAGTTTAAGAACCTCTTTACAAATTAACTATATTTCAGTCATCCTTGCAACAGCAAAGTCAGCTGCTAGGCCATACCACTAGCTCAGGGGAGAAACAGCTGATTATACACTACCTGTAAATCAGCCACAGCAATCATTAACTCCTTAGGTACACGCCTGCTGCACACAGCAGGAAAAGAAAATGGGTCCCACTTATCCAGATCTCAGGCCCTGGAGGAAAAAGCCAAAAATCTAATTACATTCCCAGACCTGGCAGAGCTCTTGTTAGGAAGGACTATGACGTGAGCTAGCTGTTTATGTATAGCTTCAGCTTCTATTTAAAAAGAAAATCCTAGCTTTTATGATTGCCAAAAATCATAACTGACCTTATACTGCAGGCCTCTCAGTTCTGCACAGATGAATAAAACACAGCAGAAAAAAGAAAAAAAAAATAGAATTGTGAGACCACAGCAGTCGCCTAACTGAAGTCCTGGAGCTCAAAGTTCAGCCATCCTGAATGACTGCTGTAGCAAGCAGTAGAGAAAGGGAGAAAGACAGCTACCTGTGCACAGGAACTCTCATCTCAGTGTTACCCATCCCCACAGGCGACGGGTAACACCAAGATTACCCATATCCCTCCCTCCCTCCTCTGGCTGTGGAGGAGAAAGTAACAGGCTAGACAGGCTGGATTTGGTGCCTCTGGCAAAGCCTACTGTCAGATGGAGTGAATCAGACTCCAAGGCTGTAAGTGTGCACCACACACAAAAAGGGAATAATTCAGTCAGAGAAAGCCAGAAGGTGGCTTTGGCAGCATTGTTTCAGATGATCCTCACCCCCTCGAGCACCCTTTGCCAGTGCAAGGAAGCTGTGCCAGCACTCAAGGGACTGGCTGAAAAAGTCCTGAAGCAGACGGAGAAGACAGGCTGGAATGGCTGTTGTGCAAAAGGCAGAGGCAAGACTTGGACACAGTTCAAATAAGTAGGCTCAGATATCGCACCTAGAACATCGCCCGCTGTTTAAAGGGCAGCAGTCAGCTTCCCGCAATCAAGAACGGAAGGAAAGACTGGGGGAAAAACTCAGTGTAACACAATAAACCCAAGCCGACTGG